CTTCCGTACCTGAAACTCTCTTTTCACCTGTGTTTCCTTGTCTGCTACCTGTCGTCCTTCACTAGTACATAAGCTCACTGAAGGCAGGGACCTTGTTGGTCCTTCACCCCTGCGTGTCCACTGGCCAGAAGAGTGCTTGGCAGAGAGAAGTGTGATTGATGGGTAGTGGTTGGCCACTTCTGGTCATGTGGGCCACGCAGGGCCACTCAGACCACTGCCCCATGGCTTTGGGTTGTTCCTCAGAGCTTCAGAGGGGACCAAGAAGCAAATGTAAGGATAAAAAAATAGCGTCTGCACTTGAATGGTTTTGTGGCTAGAACTGTAACTGTGTACTTTTCAATACATAAAATTATGTAGCAAAATAGAGACACATGACAGGCTTTCCAACTAACAGCTGGAACAGTATTTTCATGACAATAGTGAAATATTTAAATTGTCTGGGGTTTATGGTTTCGATTCGTTGTGGCCCTTCATCAGTGACCTTAATGAGTTCTCACTCTCACTCTTCACGCTGTTATCCTTGGTGTGAGTCTGCTTTCTCTGTCTCTTCAGGGAGAGTGTGAGGTGTTACAGTATCAAGCTGTGTGATTACGTCCCGGGACATTTCATTCCCCCTTATTCTTCCAGAGGCGGATTCTGCGGGGGTGGGGGGAGGGGGATGTTAATCATTTGTTCCAAGGCTCTCTGCATGGCAGCATGTCGGTTGCTACCCAGAATCAGAAGCGCTTCCGCTGGCTAGAAGCCTTCTTGGACGTGTCTCTTGGTGCACGATGGGCACACTTTTCGGTGTGGTTGTACTCCGGAGAGGAAGTACTGGCTGAGGGTACTAGCTGACGGCAGCCTCGTTTCCAAAGTGCTTGTACCAGTTGACCTTCCTACCTGTAGGGCGCGGCTGCGGCCCCTTGGCCAGGCAGAAGCTTCTCGCCGGTTTTCTTACCTTGGGCTTCTGGGTGGTTCTGGTGGGAGGGTAGTGCTGTCCCGTGGTGGTTGAAGTCCCCCCCCCCCCCCCCCCCATGATTCATGAGGTGAACATCTTGTCTTTTGTTCTGCTGGCCACTTAGGTATCTTTTTTTTTTTTTTTTGGTGACGTGTCTTTTCAAGTCATGAGCTTGATTTTCTTTTGGGTTGTTTATATATTTTTATTGATTTGTAAGGTGTTCTTGAGAAGTCCAGATGTGAGCCCTTTGTTGGTTATGTCTGTGCTAAGTATCTTCTTCCTCTCCGGGGCTCACCTTATCATTGTCTTAAAGGTGTCCTTTGATATCAGAGGTTCTTAATTTCAGTGCTATTAATTTTACCAGTCTTTTCCTTTATGGTTCTCTTTGGTTATTAACTTTATAGTGAGTCCAATTTAAGAAGCATTAAGATACTCTCCTATATTATCCTCTCAGAAATTTATTGTTTTCTATTTCATAAAACAACTGAAATTAATTTTGGGGGGAGTCTGCTTTATTGAGATAAAATTTGTAGCAATAAAATGTGCTACTTTAAGATGGACCATTCCTCGAGCTTTGACAGGTGTACCCTGTGGCATGGCCGTCTCTACGATCAGGATGCAGAACGTCTGTGGCCCCGGAGGGTTCCCTCATGCCCTTTGCAGTCCCTTCCTGCTTCCCGTGGCCCCTGGCCCATAGCTCCATTTGATTTGCTTTCAGATTACCGTAGTTTTGCTTTGTCTAGAATTCCATGGACATTGAATCACACAGTGCGCCAGACTTCGCTCACTTAGCACAGGGCCGTGAGAGTCGCCCATGGTGGTGTGCTCCTTTCTGTTGCCCTTGCTTCTCCACTGTACGAGAGACTGCGCCGTGCTCACGCACCCGCGGCTGCACATCTGGCCCTTTCCACGGGGGCTGCTGTGAAAGCAGTTGCTGTGAACACGCACATCAGAGTCTGGGGACGTGAGTTCATTTCTCTTGGGTAGACGTCCACCGGTGGAATTGCCGGGTCTCAGGTAGGAATTGCTGGGTCTCAGGTAAGCACAGGGTTAAACTGTTTTTATTAGGAACAGCCAAACTGTTCCCAGCGGGTAACCAGATCATTTTGTATCTTGACCGGTAATGCACGAGAGATTCAGTTGGTAAACTTGCCAACACTTGGTATTGCCAGTCTTTTTAATTTGAGCTGTTCTGTTCTAAGTAAAAATATTTCTACTAACGAAGATGTGTGGCCGTATCTTCTTGTGGTTTTAATGTTCACCTCCCCAAGGCTCACAGTGTGGAGCAGCTGTGATGTGCTTCTTTGCCATCCGTGTCTCCTTTGGTGATGGTCTGTTTGCATCTTCTGCCGTGTTTAGAAAACGTACGCCCCGGGTATCTCCTTCGCTCTGGCACGGCTGCCCCTCTCTCAGCACTCTGACAGCAGGCGTGCGGGGCCGGGGGGTTTCTGCAGATGCCAGCCGGGTGTCCCGCAGTTGAACTCAGTTCCGACAGCATCTGCCTCGAGGCAGCATCAGACCCCACAGGTCAGGGACTCAGTCCCACAAGACTGCTCTCTCTCTGCCCGCCTTTCAGGTGCATTTGAAGGTCCAGCTGGTCACCTGTGCTTCTGACTCATGGGCTCTAAATTGGAGGTTCCCACAGCCCCCTCCTCAGGGTCGATTAACTTGCTAGAGTGGCTCGTAGAACTCAGGGAAGCAGTTTGCTCATGTTTATCGGTTTATCATAGAAGGATGTGATGAAGGGTACAGATGAGCCACCAGATGGAAGAAATGTGTAGGGTAAGGTGTGTGGGAAGGGATGGAACTTCTGTGCCCTCTGTGGGTGCACCCCTCTCCCAGCACCCCCACATGTGCACCCGGTGGAAGCTCTCCGGACCCCGTCCTGTTGGGATTTACGGGGGGTCCTCACGGAGGCCTGCGATGACTCATTGACCCATTCCCAGCCCCTCCCCCTCCCTGGAGGGGCGGGATGGCCTGAAAGTTCCAAGGGGGGGGGAGGGATGGGATGGCCTGAAAGTTCCAAGCTTCCAGTCACTGCTGCTCTTTCTGGGGACCAGGCCCACCCAGGAGCCCCCCCGAGTCACCTCATTAGGACAGAAGATGCTCCGAGTGCTCTTGGACGTAGGCAGTGAGGAGGGCCCCAGGAGCGCCGTGCCGGCCCCGGGTCAGAGACCAGTATGGAGATTTTCTATTATTTCACATGCCCCTTTTCTCCTTTGTCTTATATATTTTGATTTTGATCTTTTTTTTTTGGTAGCGTGGGGGGAGAAACTTTATTTTTTTTGCTTAAATATTAGCATCATTTGTGGAAAAGACTGCCCTTTTAACCTATGTTGAGGTTAGGGATACCGACCCCTATACAGTTGAAAATACATGTGTAACTTTTGATTCCCCCAAAACTTAACTACAAATCGCCTCCTGTTGCCCAGCAGCCTTAAGGACCATGTACACAGTCAACACGTAGCTTGTATGTTGCAGGCATGAGCACTGTGTTCTTCCAAGACAGACAGCTGGAGAGGGAAGGTTACTAAGGGCATAAGGAGGAGTGGACCATGTTGTTCAGGGCTGCAGCTGTGTTTGCACGGGTCTGTTTCTGGGCACTCTCTGTTTTGTTCCCTTGGTCCAGTTCCCTTTGTGCTGGCGTCCCCCTGCCTCACCCAGGCTTCGTAATAAGTCTTGGTGCCCTTCGATGGACTTCTCAACTTACTCTTCTTAAAGAGTGTCTTGGCTGTGCGCGGTTGTTTCCATTTTCATGTATCTTTTAGAATTGTCTTGTCGCATTCAGAGAAGAAGCCTTGTTGACATGTTGGCTGCAGTTGCGTGGAATCCATAGACTGAGTTTGAGGAGGACTGAGAACTTCCTAACGCTGAGGGCTCGACCGGTGAACTTGCTCTGATCTCCATTTATCAAGGTCTTTAAAGCTGTGATGGTTCTGGCACGTTACAGATCTGCACATCTTTTAAAAACGTACTTCTGCGTGTTTCCCATTGTAATTGCTGTCTTTGTAAGATTTTTCTAGCTTACTTGTACATAGAAACGCAGTTTGGTTATATGTATGGACCTCGTAATCAGCAATGCTTGCAATCTTTCTAATAACGCATCTTGTTTCTTTTGGACTTTGTTCGTATGTACGCATAGCACCTGTAAGTAATGACTGTTTGACTTCCCCTTTTCCAAGCCTTTTATTTGGCAAGGATTTGTTAATTTTATGTCCCTTCAAGGAACCAGTTTTTGGGTCAGTTTATCTTCTGTTTGTATGGTTCTTACTAGACCAGTGATGTGTTCGGCACTTGGGCCCAGTAGGAGGTGTATCTGTGGCCTGAGTCCTTACTCCCGGTGGCCCTCCTTCCTGCCCGTGATTGTTTTAACCTTGTGCTCTTTACCTTTGCCCATTTGTGTGCAGGTTTGGTTTCATTTTGGTGCTTTGCATATAAAAGATGAGGAGGCCAGGACTTGAAATGGCATTTCTTAGTGGCAGGGCCGGGCCTCATCAACAGCTACTGACCTTTGCAAATTGCTGCAAACCGCTGCTGTCTACCTGTTTTCACTGAGTGCTCAGGTCTGACACCATGGATCCTCATGCGGGGGCTCACAGATTTGGTAGAGAGGCACGGGGGGCCGACCGCTAGCCTGTCCGTGCTCCCTGTCCTGCTTCACGAGCGCCGGCTCAGTCTCTAGTTTGTCATGTTCAGAAAAGCTTGTGCTGCCTCTCAAAGTCACAGGAAATACCATTCCATTGGAAAATAATATACTATGCTTGATTTGTGAAATTTAATCAAAATAACTACCAGGAGTATTTTCGAAAGATAGTTAACCCCTTTTGTCTTTTCATTTGTAAAATGAGAGGGTTTATAGCTCTAAAATTCTACTTTTTGCTGATATAAAGAGCTGTTTATGTAGTCTTTGTTGGAAATATAACTGGACTAGGCATCCACTTTGGACAAACAGAATTTTGAATTTAAGAATTTTTAATCTTATATACTTTTAAAAGTTGTTTTGTTGAAATGCCAACCTAATGTGCATTCTATTTCATAATGGCTTTACTTTTTCATTTTATAGAATTAACACTGAATCCTCCGGAAGGAATTGTGGCAGGTAAGGTACTAAAGTTAACCTCTTTATAATCTACTTCTGACTGCCAACGTTGCCTTCAGAGTTAATTGTGGAATTTTTTTTTTCCTGCAGGCCCCATGAATGAAGAGAACTTTTTTGAGTGGGAGGCGCTGATCATGTAAGTTAGTTATATGTGTTTCTAGTTTTCAAGACTTTTTTGGACATTAGACCTTTGAATCCATGTAGCAGTGGGGCTGTGCTTAGAAATGTCCATTAGGAAAAAGGGTTTGTGCATCTCTTGAATTTAGCTCTTTTCTAGTCTGCTAGTCTGATACCAGATAAGAGCACAGATGTGTATCCTGAGAAATGAAAATGTTTCCTTAGAACCAGTAAAAGGTTTAGTCGATTTTATGTTTCTAGAGTTTTACAATAATAAGGGTTTTTTCTTTTTTTTTTATAGATTTTATTTATTTGACACAGAGAGAGCAGAAGCAAGGGGAGTGGCAGGGAGAGGGAGAAGCAGACTCCCCGCTGAGCAGGGAGCCCGATGTGGGGCTCCATCCCAGGACCCCAGGATCATGACCTGAACCAGAGGCAGACACTTCACTGACTGAGCCCCCCAGGCGCCCCCCAGTAATAAGTTTTGAATGTTGTGTGGCTGTGCTGGGTTAGCCTCAGACAGTGTCGGTGGTTTTGACTTCAGGAAGTCCCTAAGAGCCCGCAGCTTTGAGGGAGGAATGGCCCCTCGGGGTGCGAGTGAGCCTCTGGCCCTACCCCCCTGTGTACCCGCACTTCCCTTTTCCTCTCATCCCCAAGGAGCTCGTCCTCTGCTGCTCTTTCCCTGTGCGCCTCATCTGGGCTTCCATCGTCCCTGACCCCAGGACGTGGCTTAGTTCTGAGGCCAGCAGTGTGGTTCCTGGCCCTGTTGTAGAAAGATCATGAGTGGACTTCCTATTTCACTTAGTGATGTTACTTAGAAAGGGTCACAAATGGACCTCCGATTCTTTTTTTTAAGATTTTATTTATTTATTTGACACAGAGAGAGAGATAGAGAGAGCACAAGCAGGGTGAGCAGCAGGCAGAGGGAGAGGGAGAAGCAGGCTCTCCGCTGAGCAGGGAGCCCGACGTGGGACTCGATCCCAGGACTCTGGGATCATGACCTGAGCCGAAGGCAGCTGCTTAATCGACTGAGCCACCCAGGTGTCCAGGACCCCCGATTCTAGAGTGTTCTATAGCCCTATGACCCAGGCCCTTTGTTTGCCTTCCTCCCTCTTTGCATGTACAGTTTTTGGCCATTCTTAGACTTGCTGTGTTTTCAACAAAATGTGGTGAAGTAAAATTTATGAAGTTGAGACTGATCCTCAGTCTCTCCGTTTTCTTTTTTTTTCTTTTTTTTTTTTTTTTTTTAAAGATTTTATTTATTTATTTGAGAGAGAGAGAATGAGAGAGAGAGAACACATGAGAGGGGATAGGGTCAGAGGACTAAGCAGACTCCCTGCCGAGCAGGGAGCCCGATGCGGGACTCGATCCAGGGACTCCAGGATCATGACCTGAGCCGAAGGCAGTCGCTTAACCAACTGAGCCACCCAGGCGCCCTCTCTCCGTTTTCTTATTAGTAAAATGAGATGGTTCAGTCAGTTGGCAAGTGTTGGGGTTGGATTTCATTGGGTTGAGAAGTGCTCTGTGGGAAGGGCGGGGGCAAGTGTGCACTTCAGACATCATCACACCTTGTGAGTCTGCCCAGGGCCAACGTCACATTAGTTCTTCATGCTTTACAAACAGATTGCTGATGAATGTTGTCCGTGGAGGTTAGATTAATACGTGGAAACTGATGAGAAAGTGAGGGTTTTTTGATAAGCAAAATATTTTAAAAATCATCAATAAACACTATCCAAAGAAAATACAGCATGCGTGACATCTGATAATTTGTAATATTCTAATTCCTTGGGCCTGTGATGTCCATTGTTTTTCCTGTGTTTAAATGTTCCTGGCATGAGGATGTCTTTTCAATTTGTATTTCTTTCTTTTTTTTTTTCTAAGATTTTATTTATTTATTTGACAGAGAGAGAGACACAGTGAGAGAGGGAACACAAGCAGGGGGAGTGGGAGAGGGAGAAGCAGGCTTCCCGCTGAGCAGGGAGCCCGACTTGGGGCTTGACCCCAGGACTCTGGGATCATGACCTGAGCCGAAGGCAGACGCTTAACGACTGAGCCACCCAGGCGCCCCTCAACTTTGTATTTCTGTCTCATCAGCTATTGTGTCTTTTGTCCCCTAAGGCAGTTACAGTGGGGTGGTGAGTCTCCTGCTCAGAAGTGTCCTACGTCTAATGGAACATGGCATTGTCCACTGTGTCAGCCGTAGATCCTTTTATTTTTAAGGAAACAGGAGATTATATCGTGTGAACTTAATTCGTAACCCTCTTTTTCCGTTTACTGGATCCTGTGCGTTGTCTCTGTGTTAATGCAGGCATGTGGGCAGCAAGCCTGGTGGTAGGGTACGTGGGGTATTGGGAGGCTTGAGTGCAGAGGTTAGTGGGCCCCTGGCAGGTCTTCTAGCTTGCGGGATATTGGCTTGTGCCCATCAGCAGACATGTGAGCCCTCCAGTATGGTTTCTAAAAAAGCATTGGGGTAGCTAAACCTGTTAGGGTAACTATTACTAATTTTAGATAAACACTATAAAATTAAAGCAATATTTTGAAAACACATAGTAGCAATCAGATGCAAAGGCAACAATAGCAGAAAACAACAAGTAGGACGTCAAACTGAAAAGCTTCCGCTTAGCACAGGAAACCATTGACAGAATAAAAAGGTCACCTACAGGATGGGAGAAAATATTTGCAATTCCAGATCTCTGATATCTCCAGTATGTATACGGCACTCGCAGAACTCAACAGCAAAGAAATAATCTGATTAAACAACGGGCAGAGGATCTGAATAGACACTTTTCTAAAGAAGACATCCAGGTGGCCAACAGGTACATAGAAAGGCGCTCACCATCACTCATCATCGGGGGAATGCACATCAGAACCACAGTGAAACATCACCTCACACCAGTCAGCGTGGATGTTACACAAAAAGACAAGAAACGACAGATGTTAGCGGGGATGCAGAGAAAGGGGAACCCTCCTACACCGTTGGTGGGAATGCGAGCTGGTGCAGCCGCTCTGGAGAACAGTATGGATCCTCAGAAAGTTAAAAATAGAGCTACCCTACGACCCAGCAATAGCTCTTCTGGGTATTTACCCAAAGAAAATGAAAACACTGATTCAAAGAGTTGTCTGCACCCCCGTGTTCACTTGCAGCATCATTTACAACAGCCAAGACCTGGAAGCAGCCTGAGTTGCTCTCCAGCAATGGATGAATGGATAAAACAGATCGGATGTGTATACACAGGTACACACACACACACACACACACACAGGTGATACCCATAAAAAAGAGTGAAATCTTGCCGTTTGTGAAAACGTGGATGGACCTTGAGGATATTATGCTAAATGAAATAAGTCAGAGAAAGATAAATACTGTACGATCTCACTTATAGGTAGAATCTAAAAAACCAAAAACCCCCCAAACTTATACAGAGAACAGATTGGTGCCAGAGGTGCTGGGGGGGTTGGTGAAATGGGCGAAGGAGGGTGAAAAGGTATAACCTTGCAGTTACCAAATCTGTCCCAGGGGTGTAAGGGACAGCATGGCGACCAGGGTCGGTGACATTGTCGTAGGTATTTGAAAGTCCTCAAGAAGTAAGTCTTGCAAGTTCTCATCACAAGAAGAAAGAGTTTGTAACTTTGTCCGGTGACGGATGTTCACCAGGTTGACTGTGGCGATCAGTCTGTAGTGTCTCCGGGTAGTGACTCCTCACGCTGTGCTCCTGAGACACAGAATGTCCCATGTCGGTGTGTCGGTTACGCCTCAGCTTAAAGTAAAAACGAGAGCCTTTCCAGGTTTCTTCAGCGCTTTTAGATTTGAATAAGGCTTTTGCGTTAGTATGGAATTCCCCTGCTTCAGGCTTTGGTGAGCCTGTGGGTCTTGGTCCTGTTCCAGACCCTTTTACAAACAAGAGGCCGTTTACAAATGTACTTAAAACATCTATTAAGGAATTAGCTGTCCTCCCATTGATTGGTCTCACGCTGCTATTTTGGCAGACAGCTGGCCGAGTTTCACTCCTTAGTGATAGGTTTTCTTTTCTCTCTTATTCTTTGATTGTCTCCAGAGTTTTTCCCGTGCCCCAGTGTTTCTGAAACCATGCTTGCCCCATTTTCTGGGAGGCAGGGTGCCTCTGGGTTGGTAGCTCTGCTCACCCGCGGGGCCTCCGTTCCCCTCGGCTGTGCAGTGAGGAAAACAGCTTTCCAGGTGCTCAAGCTACAGGTACGAGGATACAGGTGTATCATAGGTGACCCCTGATGTCCCCCTGAGAGAACGAGGTGGAGGATGTACGATGGGAACGCAGCAAATTAACAGGAGGGGAACGAAAGAATAAAATTGCCACAACCTCTTCTCTGATGAAAAGTAGAAGGCAGCTCTGGGATACCTGGCTGGCTCCGTCAGAAGAGCGTGCCACTCCTGATCTTGGGGTTGTGAGTTCAAGCCCTACGTGGGTGTAGAGACTCAAATAAAACCTTAAAAAAATAGTTTAAAAAAAAAAAAGGTAGAAGGTAACTCTGCTGGCCGTCGGCTGAGCATGTGGTGGAGTTTGAGCCTGTGGCCAGGAAGAGGGCTGGGGCTTCCTATCAGACGAGATGTAGGGCTCGAGGGCTGGGTGGCTGGCATGGCTTCGTGCTCTCGGACCGGCCACTCTTCACTTGTCTGGATCAAAACAAAGAGGCCCGTCATCCTTTCAGACAGGCGGCATCACGTTCTGCCTCTTCCAGGTCCGGAGTCTCTGGCCTGTGCGACCTTGTTGCCCTGGGCTGTCCGAGGTCCTTGACTGCCCAGGGTGGGTGTGCTCCTCAGGTGGAGCCTTCAGTGAGGACAGGAGGAGCCCGTGGTGCAGGCCGGCTGTTTGTCCTCTGTGGCTAGGAAAGGTGCGAAGGCCTCTGGGATCTTGCTGCCCTGTTCTGTCCTTCCCCAGTGTACCTGGAGCAGCTGGTGTGAATGATCTGCGTGCCTGAGCCACAGCCTGGCCACTGTCCCCTCCAGACCAGAGGCTCTGGTAAAATGAGAAGGACCTCCCACTC